GTAGTGGTAGTGGCAGTGGCAGTAGCAGTAGCAGTAGCAGTAGTAGTAGTGGTAGTGGTAGTGGTAGTGGTAGTGGTAGTGGTAATCGTCGTAGTCGTCGTAGTCGTCGTAGTCGTCGTAGTCGTCGTAGTCGTCGTAGTCGTCGTAGTCGTAGTCGTAGTAGTAGTAGTAGTAGTAGTAGTTAGAAGTGGTAGTAGTCGTCGTCGTCATCGTACCACTGGGAGAGCGGCACCCACTGCGACTACGACGACAGCTGCTCTTGGTAATTCCCGACGCCGGCTACTACTAGAGCCAGTACCATTAAGTAACATTGTCATTCGCCAGTCTTAAGGGGCTTGAGCATGCTTGAACTTTTTCGACCTGAACGTTGCAACTCAGCTGCTGCTGCTGCCCAGGTCCCAGGACCTGCCCGAGGGTGCACTCCTAAAGCGCAGCTTTCTGAGCTGGAAGGACATGGTGCGCTGCAGGTTGTTAAGGATGTTCAGGTTGTGCATATGTTAATTCATGCGGGTGCTGAGTGTAAACTCCATTTTAGCTTTCGGCATCAGGCTACCAAGGCTAAATGGATGTTTAGTACTTGCTCAGATGGGCTCAGTCCACTCGAGTTAATGTTTTACCACGACCGAAGCGATTGCCCGCCGTGTATGTAGGCAGTAACTTGAATGCCGCAAAATCGTGTTTACTTGTGATATCGAAGGACTTAAACCGTGCATTGCAGCTTGATGCCTTGTATTCTCGTAGCTCTCGCGGAGTCCAAATTTGGCACGTGAGCCCATGCCAACAAGGGTCGACGGCTAGAACGCGGGTTGTACCATTTCCATACGTTGGTGATGACGACGGCGACGACGTTGATTGATTGTGATGAGAGATGATGACGGTGCTTGTGTCGACTGGATGACGCTGCTCCATGGTGGAGATGTTGTTCTCATTTGTTGTCGTGTTTGGGTATGTACTCAAGTGCTGCATCGCTGTCCGCATGGCTTGTACGTCGTCACTCATACACATGCATCATTACACTCACACGCTGCACATGTTGAGTCCTGGCTCCTGCATGTGGGAGGTGGCCTCACTTGCCTTGCTCCGCGTCAAATTGGAGAATGTTCACCTGAAGGTGCGAGCGACATGCCGTGACATGACCTGCCGACTTGGCCTGAGTTTCCTTTTGCGCAGTCATGACCACGAAGTGCCCGAAACCGCACGTGCCTCGTCCGCAGGAAAAGCTGAAGCAGCAGGTCGGTGCGATGTCGGAGTGTGCAGAAGACCAGCGCAGTCACTAGAAGTCCTTGTCCAAGCCCTGCCGCATGGAGGCCTCCATCAAGGGGACCGTGTACAGTCCTGCTTAGACCTTGCCCGTCGCAGGATGCCAAGTCCTCGGCCTCCAGCAGTCCCAAGCGGGGGAAGGACGGCTTAGGGAGTACGCGGAACTATGCTGAACTGTTCCAGGTGGTTTCCGCGCTGTGGTGTCAAGCAAGATGAGCATAGTTTGACTATGCGATCTTTTTTGCTTGCGCCATGCATGGAGTTAAAGCATGCTGCAAGACATTTGAACTCACCCTGGAACTCGCCCTGCCTTGGCAGGTGTCTCCAATGTCACCATGCGGAAAGGCCCAACTCTCGATAAGATGCAAAATGTCTCGCAAAACATTCAGCGCTCTGTTCTGTTCCACTAAGCTACAGCATGCTATGTATTATGTTACGCATAATTGTAACATATCGGTTAAATATCGGCATATATATATATGCATATATTATGGTTTCCCCTCTCTTTGTCTCTCTCGTTTCTATGTGCGTATACCCAAACATATGGGAACAGTATGCGATACGTGCGTTCAGAGCAAAGAGGACAGCGTGCACAGTGCTTACGGGCCGCGCCCGCATCGGTTGCATGGCTCCTGATGCGACTGTCGACACACTGCGCACCTGGAGTTGCACCTCCTGCAGTCACGGGTGTGTTAAGGCGAGAACAGTACATGAATCGCAGTCTCTGAGGGGCTATTCAACCCCGGGCACTTCGGTGTTTTCTCGTCAGTAGTTTCCACCATGCTTTTCCGTGTGGTCTCGTTCTACCCACGATTCTGTTTGTCTTTTCAGTTTTCGGGTGTGTTGGAGTTTTCCAGGGATGCGGCCCTCCACGGTCTTCTTCTGTGATCTCTCACCGTTTCTACGCCGGCATTATCGTACAAATCGTATACAGGGGGCAGAGGAACCTGCCGCTCAGACAGTTACTAGTAGTTAGGAGGGGAGCAATAGGCGAGTCAGGAGCAACGACATGCAGACATGCCTTGTCCAGGTGTCTGTCGACTTGAATTCGCCGGACCGCCTGGTGAAGTTTGGCATTTCGTCACCAAAGGCCTTGGCATTTCGTTGAACGCTGCAGTTGGGGCTTTTGTGTCACATAGTGAGGTGAGTTTTCGTACTCTCTATTATCTGTCCATCAAGTTTTCGTTCCCTTCAGCGTAGCTCATGGGAATTGGCACCTACCCGGATTCATTGTAGGCCCTCGCATTGACCTTTGGGTAACGTATTGCAGCTCAGAAGTGGGAATCCTGGTAGGTTGTGACCCCCGCCAATTTGCCATCGTTTGTTCCGGATGTGCTGGCTGTGCTCTCAGATGACACAGGTTGCTACTTTGGGCGATTATGATTCAGTTGTGATATACAAGGGGCAGAAGGCTCACGGAGAAAGGCTGGGGTTGTAGAGAAAGCAGTTCGGCTAGAGGGAGATTAGAAATTACTTCTGTGACCTGCTTATATTTTTTTCATTACTGTGAGCATTCTTACGCATATGTAGGGGGCATCAGCGTTTCGACCATATACAATCGGCTCAACCGTGAAGAATGGCACTTCTGGGAACGGTACAGCACAATCTAGCAAAGCTGGTGTCTCTGGCGGCTCTGGCGTTTAAGGCTTTTCATGGCTTTTGTAAGGCACTGCAGCACTCTAGTGTAGAATTCCTGACTAAGATGTTTTTTGCCAAGTGCTCTGGCCATTGCAACATGCAGCCAGACGCGAAGCCGTGCCAGGCTGCACAAAGCGACGTTGTCTCAACATTACTTTGTACCGGGTCATTTTACTGTGCTTTCCTGCATGTGGTGATCTTGAGCAACATCGGACTTGAGGCTGCATCTCCGGGGACACTGACACCCTCCCCGGTGGTGGCGCATTCGACCGGAGAGGTCAAGCTTTCAAATCATATTTAATTTGCTACTGGGAGTGTTGGTGTTTAGTCATGGTCATGTTTACAACAGTAGTTTCGTATTTTGAGGTTCCATGCTTAAAGTTCATAGTCTTGTTACGAGTCGGTGCAAGCGCAGAAGTCCCATGGCCTGACCAGCGGAGAAATTAAGCCAGAAGAACCAAAGTACACAGTACATGCTCGATGTTCTAGGCGAAGGGCTGCCTATATCCTTCCCATGTAAACCTTAAGTAAGGAATACCGAATATCCCATAGAAGCCCTGTATTAAAACTAGGATCGTATGTTAAAGTATGTCACCGCTGGCACGGCTAGCTTTATGGACAACAGTGGCTACAACAAACCATGACAGGGGGAGAAGAGCATCGAACATGTTGTCAGCGCTGTTCCTGCCAGTCCCCACACGTCAGATTCCTGCACTGCGGAATCGAGGAACACCCCAAAGCCCTGTCCCAGCGGAGGTGCCCTCTGTGGCGCCGACTCTTTCGCCCTCGCCTGTAGTCACCTTGTCGCCCACTCCTCTCCTGCAGGTGGGATGTTGTTCCTCACAATCACGCTGTATTTGTTGTTGACAGGCTTGCCATGGTTTGCCAACATGCTGCTGATCTTCCTTTGACTAGCTCGGGGGGCGCTAAAATTTTCAGTGACGCGTGATGCCTCAAGCAAGTTTCGAAATCGGCTGTCAGTATGACTGCCAGTCAGTGTCTCGTTTCCTGCACTCCGGATTCTAAGAAGTGGCACGAGGTAGGTTTGGTGTCACCTGCTGACTTTTTGTGGACCTGTAGTGCACGTGAGGCAACCGTGGGTAGCGGTTCTGCCAGCTGCCTGAAGTCATCTTTGCCTCCAGAAGAGCTGCGGGAGGTGCTCCTCCGCTTTCTTTCTCCCGAAATGCAATACGAACCATAGAAAGTCCTGGAGCTTGCAAGGATTCGGAGATAGCTGGCATCGACAATTCACCGCGGTGAGTGTGCAGCTCACAATTCTGTGTGCTGTATGGTTGTCCATGCACCAGCTACTACTGCACCCTTAGTCAGGCTGCATACAGAGTCACAGAGATCACAGGTTCGGATTCTTGCGGAGATGTACTTGCTCGAAAGCATCCGTACTGTCATAGGCGGGTGTCGTCGATCGGCAAGATGAGGCCGACTGCCCTGTTTGTGGCACAGCGTCTGGGTGATGATCACAGGTCTCGTAAGCCGCGGTCCAAAAAGCATGAACTCTGTGTTATCCGAAGGCACCTACAAATATGTGCGCTTGCGACACTTAGACTCAGATCATCATACAACCTCAGCCATCAACCTGCGACCCTCAAAGGCTCCACCAAAGCAACCCTAAACCCCTAAACCACTGAGAGCCTAAACCAAAAGCCGCTCGCAAGCGGCTCTAGGCCTCCTTGCGTGAAGCCTTGGACAACCGAATGGCACAGATGCTGCGAGCCTCGACCTCGGGGCTCTCTCTCCTGTTTGGTCTTCGAATCATGTTTATAAAATCAGTCAGAACAGAGTTAAATCGAAGACATAATTGCAGAACAGAACAGAATGGACTATGAACTGACCATCGAATATGATAGAATATGATGGGCTCAACATAAAATGATTCATTTTTGTAGAACTCTTGCAAAATGGGAAAATGGGCGCAGCGGCGCCAATCCAAAGTTGAACTAGAGCTGGCAGCTGGCATTGTATCATCTAAAGTATATAGTATATATGAGAGACAATATATAGTATAATATATGTACGTATAGTATATAACATATGAGGTTATTTACGACATAAGACAGTATATAATATAATACACTATCGCGCCATATATTAATGCAGTGTCAGCTGCTGCTTTGCCACTGTGTACTATCGTGTAAGTCCCTGAGTCACTTGTGACTACAAGGATGGCTTACAAGCCTGTCATTCTCTTCAGCCTCGTCTGGTGCGCATAGCCTTGTCGCACACTCCATACTATGCTACTGCATTGCAGGATGTCGCACCCTAAACTCTGTTACTTCCGCTCTGTCCGAGCACTATAGTCTAATAAGCTGAGGTGCGCTCTAGCATCTTTGTATCCTACACTAGAACACCTGTGCAGGCCTCTGGTATTCCATTAATGATTCTTGCTTCCCGCTTCTGTGTAGCACTGTTGCAATCGCTCTTTTGCGACCACGATCTACCTTGTGTACTGCATGATGTCACGGTTTGGCCATTCTTGATGCTTGTAGGTCATTATACATCTATGCTGAGGATACTTTTGCATATCCGATCTGACAGTAGTGGCTGATACTCGTGGCTTTCCGGAGTTCATGCCGTATGTTGTTTAAGGTCTATGGCACTAGGGCTGGAGCAACGAGAGGCCCGCCAAATAGACCTGTGAGGAATTTCCGGACGTGGTCCCGGCCAAAGCCGAAGCAGAAAGAACGCGTCAGGCGCAGTCCAGCCAAGTCACCACGCAGAAGAATTACGGTTTGGGCTTCAGGGCTTAGTAGTGCTGAATATTGAGACGAGGACGATCCAGATGCCAGCACAGCAGTGTTGTGTTGTAGAGGTGTTGTGTGTGTGTGTGTGCATCGGCAAAGTAACCGGACGAAGCGCGACCACGCGAGATGCTGCCGCAGGAACTTCGCAAAAGCCAGAATCTCTCTCAGCTTGAATTGCGAGTGCAGCGGCAGCGGGCTTGGCGATCACAGCTTATGTCCTCACAAGAGTTGGGCAGCGGAGAGCGACTTCTGCACATCAAGTGCCCGAACCTGGAAGACATGTCGTGACGGGCTGGACTCGAAGCGCAGCAGGCGCCTTCGGACAGAAGAGCACATTCTGCTTCGGCTGGTCTGGCAGGCGGGTCTCAAGCCTCGTGTAGCATCTCGCTGTGTTTCTCTTTGAGCTCGAACCGTCAGTCCTACTGCTGCTGCTGCTGCTGCTGCTGCTACTGCTACTGCTACTGCTGCTACCACCACCACCACCACCACCGCCACCACCACCACCACCACCACCAAGGAGACCAAAAGACAACAACGATATTGCGATTCAAAAGTTGAGCAGACGATGTGAGTGTTCATGCAACTGCAACCTTCAGGCTTGGGAAGACTTCGATGGCAATGGCATTGTCAGGGCCGAGGCCGACTGGAGACAAGCCGGAACCAGATAGCGGAACAGACACATGATGGAGCAGTGTCAGTGTTTTTTCGTTCTATCAGATCCGTTTGGTCTCAAGGCTGACCCAAGGGCTCGTTCACAAGTTTGTGCCATGGGCTGCGGCGCAAGTACCACCGTACATCCAACATCGCCATGCACCCGGGGACCTCAAAGTCTCCGCATGAGCAGCAAGAAGCGGGTAGAGGCAGTGCATGACCTCGATGCGATGACCGTGCTTCCCAACAGCCCGACACAGAGTCCTGAGGACAAGCTAGACTTCGAGGAGTCGTCAGACGAGCAAATGTTTGTTGAGCGGGTGGAGGACGGAGCTCGACTCTGGTCATCGATGAACACTGAGGATGCCGAGGCCAACCGAAACCAGCCATTTCCAACGCCGCCCGATCGACGGATGCATGATCGACACCTCCGGCGGATCGAAGATCTAGGTCGACAAATGGCGGAAACTCCTCATGCATTTGCACTCGTTGTCTGGAACCGACGATGCCGGTTGATCGACCAAGTCAAGACCGCGTAAGTGGCCTCACAGGATGCAAGGTCGAATTGCAAACATGCAGTCGTCGTCGTCGTCGTCGTCGTCGTCACCATCATCATCATCATCAGCAGCATCTTATTCATCTTCATCGTCATCGGCCTCATCACCATCAGCATCATCATCAGTAACATGCATATCAACATTATCATAATCCGCCGCATCTTCTGAATACGAGGAACACCCGGCCGCAACAACATGAGCGGCAGCAATCACAATCAATATAGCGATACCACCATCACCAGTATAGACACGGCTACCGCCAGCAAGGGGGCCTTCAAAATTAGGAAAGTACAGCAAAAGCATCACGCTAGTAAAGCAGCAGCAGCACTGGTATCGGTGAGGCCGCATACTTGGTCGCCTGGTACTTCTATTCGGCAAGGTGCTGTCTAGGGGCAGGCCAGAAGGCACAGACATATCAAACGGTCTGCTGACCTTCTAGGCCCGCTTGAAACCCAGACAGTTTCTCTTCCTTTGTGGTGACTCTCGAATGGGATGGTTGGTCTGCTCTGAGTCCAGCTTTCTTGAGGGCTGGACAGGCATCCAGGTTCTTTCGCAATCCAGAAGGGTTGCCGTGACTCTGACATTCCACACTAGCCGAAGAGCAACCTCATCGCTGCCAAGAGAGCTTAACGCGAAGTTAGCTGCCCAACTCTTGCGATCATGAGTGCTTTTGCCTTTCTGACTCGTGCTAGTCTCACTGTGCTGCACAACCTGGCCACCTTTACGAGTCTTCTTGTCTTGAGTCTGCTTACGCCGTCGTAGGCTTATGAGCATGCATGCTTTCCGCATTCGTGATGAACAACTTCATGACCGCTGTCATTCAGATGTCTAGTGACCAGTGCCATTCTAGTGCCAGTTACCTCGGATTTCGTTGCTATCATGAGTGTGATTGCAAATATCTCTGCGCTGACTCCCACATATGATCTGCAGGTCGCGACAGGCCGGAGCAGCCCCCAACCCAATCAAGCAACGGAGGTCACCTCAAAGTGACGGGGCCAAGCGCCCACAAGGAATTTGCAGCTGCTGCCTGCTAGCAGCACGGTTTAGGGTTCATGGAACTACCAGAACCTAAACCCAAGATAGCTGACGGACCGTCGGCATATAAGTTGAAGGCTGCCGGACAGCTCCCTCAAGTCTGTCTGAGCAAACCCCGAAACGATTTCCGTGGCTTCGAGCTTCGCAGCCGTCGCTCTTATTCCAGGGATTCAGCGTCGTGCCGCATGGGCTTCAGATTAGAAGCGAGGTTCATTGCAGGTTGAAATAGTTGCAGGAACAGCAACAACATACTGTTACACAGATTGAATCCTAGGAGCTTGTGACGGTGGGATTCTCTTGCACTGCAGCTGTGGGGGCTCCACCTTAACCTTGCAAGTGGGCATCAACCCGAGCTGCCAACGTGCGAAGGGAAGCTTTTCCAGCTGGAGCTGTCACAGGGTTTCTAAAACCCGGACAGCTGCAGACGACCATGCTTCTTGCGGGGATACAGCGATGTCGCGCCGAAGAAATATGTTTGTGATGTCTTTGGTCGTCCTTAACTCACCCTGGCTTGTCAAGGCCCCCGCAGGAGCGCTTGATAACTTCCCCGTGCCCAGTTGTCAAAGGAGTCCCAAAACCCGGACAGCTGGCCAGTTTGCGGCTGAGTCCTCTGTGGGTCGACATTTTTGTTCAAGACCCGCAGACGGGCCTCTGTGCAAAATCGACTCATGGGGCCATGAGTCATTCAAGAAACATGCAGAATCTAGCACATCGAAGGGGAGGCTTGTTTAGTTAGAGCTTCGGCCATTGCATTGGACTTCTGGAAGCCTTCAGTCCATGGCCATGTTCACAGAGGATCCAGCACTTCATGTCCCGAGCTAAACCGTCCCGACCTGGTGCTCTTGAGTCCCAGGTTGAATCGTAATTTGCAGAAGGAAAGAAGCTGCAGCCTATTTTTCTGAAAATTAGACGCCGCAGTCCCACTTCTTGTGGATTCAGCTGGGCTTATGAATGCAGCGTGCCATGATGATAGTCTTGATGTTCAAACAGAAGGTCGTAGGACGGGACCGGCGTTTATCACTCGGGCAGCTTTAACTGTTGCTGCAAAACGTCAGAAGCTTTCATCACTGCTCGCTTCAATACTTGCATTGACCGGTTCAGGGTGCGCAGCGCAAAAAACAGACTGAGCTGGATCTGTAGAGGTTGTGTTTAGCAGCTTCACCACAGAGGTGCGGCTGGCACGCAATACAGTGGGCGGCTCATGGTCTGCATATCTGTTGACCTAGCTGTCTGTCCGTCATTTGCTTTATCTATCTATCTAGCTGTTGTCTATCTATCTGTCCGTTTGGCTAGCGGCTGTCTAGTCTAGTGCAGTCTAACCTCTCCAATCCGATGTGTTCCCTTCCTTTAAATGCTGTGCTACTCTATTCTGCTCCATCCACTCCATACACTCTATTCTATCCATTCTATCTAGCTCCATCTATCTATCTAAATCATCTATCTAACTCCCTATCTGTCTGTCTACCTACCTAGCTACCTACCTAGCTATCCATCCATCTCCATATCTCTCTGTAGCTGTCTCTGTTTACTGTACCTGTGTATTTATGTCTCTCTGTCTCTCTCTCTCTCTCTGCCATTCTATCTCTCCCTAGCCCTCTATCTCTCTCTGTCTCTCTCTCTGTCTCTCTCCCTCTCTATCCATCTATCTGTCTATCTATCTATCTCTCTCTCTGTCTACATATCTGTCTATCTATCTGTATCTATATTTATTTATGTACATACGGTTACATATGGTTACACACATACATACTTACTTACTTACATACTTATGTGCATAAAAATATATACTCATGGCCTCACAGGTTACAGTATCTTCTATAGAGCAGGCTATCTGGTGTTTTTGTTGCATGGAATGTTGCAGAGACATCCCGCAGAGGGAGCAGGTGTTGGGTGCGCAGCGGTTTGAGTCAGATCGGCTTCGGTTCCCTTGCACAACAGCCTGTGTAGTTTCGGCTATGCTCGTAGTCTGGGATGATGGTTCTACTTGTTTTAGCACTTTGGCCTGGAGTCCTTGCTTGAAAAGAGCGGGGCCATATAGTCAACCCCTTGCCAAGCCGATACCTCAAGGATGCAGACACAAACTTGAAAAAGGCTTTGGATCTGTGCATCTGTCTCACTGCATGGCAGCACGGCATCTGAGATTGAAAGTGCAAGCGCAGTAAGCCCCAATTTACCCACGCGAGCGCTGACCAACTGTGCTCTTCCAGGCACGCGGTGCGCAACCTTGTGGATCCACCCGCGCGATGAAAGCAGAGGCATGTCGGACGGGAGCCAGAGCAATTGCACGAAAGTCGTCGAAATCGTGAAGAGACTCCAACATCATCATTGTCATCACCACCAGCATTGGCAACATTACTACTGTACTGCAAGGAGGCACTCCAGATTACTGGAGAGATGGGGTAACACCGGCTGAGTCGCAATATGAGTCCTTTCTTGCTGACTTAATGTTTCGATCATCGAAAGCTCGTTTGGGAGGTTGCCTGTCAAGTCGACCTGGACGCTGAGCAGGCTTCGGCTTCTGGCCTTCCCAGGGATGTCTTAAAATTTGTAAGGCCGAGTTTGTGGGATCCCACCGGGCTTAAGCATCCCCCACTTCTCTGACAGTCCCCACATCCAGGTGGCAGACTGATAGAGCTGACCACATTTCTTACAGCTTGCAGAACAATTGTGGGATGCAGCACTTTGTCGAGTGTAGACGGCATGGGTTGAGCCATACATCGTTGTGCAGGGTGACAGTGTGATCGCGCATGACACTTGCTGTTCTTTTGCAGTCACCGCGATGGCTCTGTTCTCTGGTTTTATCGCCCTTTTGGACAGCAACCTCGGTGGCGAATATTGGCTCAAGGCCCGACTGAGCCTGGTTGGGCTATGCCTGAGTGCCCAGACCACTCGGGGGGAGGTTGAGTCATGTCCGCCGCCAGCTGAGATGCATGCAATTTTGTGCTTTTTGCATTTGGTGTTTGCAAGCCTTCTGAAGGGTTTGCTTGAAACTAGACCGCTCCACCACTTGCAGTCACCAGCATGCTGAGCCAATGCAGGGCATAGCAGCAATTACCTCAACAGATGTGACACGCGGTCCAAAGCCTGACTTATGGCTATAGGGCTATTGGCAAGACATTCGATCGGTCATTGCAGACGCTGGCACAGCAAAGCTTTTTTTGCTCAGGACAGCAGCACCATGAGCCTCGACCTTGGCCATCAAGTCAGAATGTGAGACCATGTGCCGACAAATGTCTTCTGCACGCAAACTTGTGTGTTGCATACTATCAAAAAGCCGGGCTACTCATTCGTCATCTACGATTATAACAAGTAGAGCGGCGCTGAGCCTCCATGTGTGGGTCGTCCCAAGGCAACACCGAGAGTCCGATGTCTGCCACCTCCTCTATCTGCTCAAGTACGAGCCACTGAGCAGTCAGAGTTCAGGGTTTTGTGCAAATGTTGATATGTAGCCTCGCCGTAAGAAGCTCGTCTTGCTTGTTCAGGAGTATACCAGTCTCGAGAAGGAGAAGGGACAAGTCTTAAGCAACGCAGAGCGGAAGGCTGTGTTTTGCTGAACTTTGCAGCTCTCCGTAAGTTCACGGCCTGTCCAAAGTTTCAACCGCGAAGTTTCATGAAGGTTTGAACATCTGAACCCGCGTCTTGACCGCATGGGCTTGCGCATGGTACCTGGAGCCGAAATGGCATCCTTCGCAAGTTCTTCCAATTATCGTTAATAAAATATCACCACTACAGTATCTGTCTAACTTTTTCACTAATACTGATACGCTTGTTGCTGCTAGCAGAAGTAAATTGTGGTCGCGATTGTCTTCGTCACGGCTGCAGGCGCAAAATTAGCAACAGGAGTACTAGGAGAGGTATCAGTAGTACAGCGCAAGTAGCAGCAGAAGCAGTAGCACTAGCAAGTAGTGTGACGTGATAATATGATTATTCGTCGTCGTAGTAGTTAT